TTTGCAAGAATTTTTCTTTTGTACTTTGAGAGAATAATGGAAACCAGAATCACTTAAAAAATTTACCAGAAAAGGAAAGTCTAAGGTGATCAGGAGAGACAGATTAGCAAACAGAAACTAACCAGGCCTGAAAGGAAGCCATCTTTCAAAGTCTTTTAGGGCCGGGCATGGTGGCTCACACCTGTAATCTTGGCACTTGGGAGTCTGAGGCAGGAGGATTACTGCAAACTGAAGGCCAGCCTGGGCTACATAGTGACTTCAAAGCCAGCATGAACTACACAATGAGACCTCTCAAAAACAAACAAACAAACAAACAAAAAAAGACTAAAAATCTTTTCTATATTGGAAATTTCCCTTAGAAAAGCAAAACAGAGATGAATCACTTATATATATATTTTTTTCTTCTTGTTCTTGTTTTTTCTTACTACTGGGGAGTTGAATCCAGGACCTTACACATTCTAGGCAGTCTAGTACTGAGCTACAACCCCAGCCCTTTTCAGGATCTCACTAAATGCCTAGGCTGATCTTGAACTTGGGAACTTACTACCTCGGGTTCACATATAGGTGGGATTACAGGTATGTCTTACCCTGCCTGGACTCTGAGGTTTTTAAATTAGCACATTTGCGTATTATAATTATAAGATACAATACTCTATAGAAGACGTTAAGAAGAACTATAATTCTCTCACATCATCTTTAAGCCACTTTAGCTTTCCTTTTTCCAATACATAACTTTAGCAGTAGTTTTTAATGGGGTCAGGCCGGAGATTTAGCTCTGTGGTCCTACCACCTGCCTCACAAGAGCAACGAACAGAGTTCAATCCCCTGTCCCCCACCTCAAAAAAAAGACTCTGTTTTTAATGGGGTCTACTATATTTTCTTCACTGTATCACTGTATATATTCTTGTAACAATACATTATTTCAGAATTTGAATTATGTAGCATAAAGCCACTTATTTCCCCCAAAGCCTTTATACGTCAGTATCTGAACATATTTTAAGAGTCACTTCCAAACTTAATTTGGACTTAATTTGTGAATATAGCATAATACACTGGTTTTTAGTTACCTTGAGTAAATGAAATGAGAAATAGGAAAAATGAGATTTAAATAGAATAGAATCTGAACAAATTGTTATGAAATGTAATGACGCTTAATCAGCATTTAATCAGCTATCTTTGGGAAGACAAGCATTTGGATTCAGGCATTTATATTCAGGTCTTGAACATTAAAAAAGGGTCATGGTTTTATCATGGAGATGAGAAATTCACTGGTGGTCATACCAAATCTTTTCACATGTTGTGCTGTAGTCTAGTAATAGGATTCTGTTTGATCAGTATATTACCTTATCTTTACTATAGTGTTTTTTTCCCAATGAGCAGACATAATTTCTTTGGTTTTTAGTTGACAAATGAAATTATACTGGGTACAACATAATGGTGTTTTTTTTTTTGTTTTTTGTTTTTAATGGTACTAGGTAGGAATCAAACTCAGGACCTTGTGCTTGCTAGGCAGGCAGTGTGCCACTGAGCTAAATCCTGGCCTCCTCAACATGTTTTGAAGAACAGTGTATACACTGTTCAGCCAAGCTAGTTAACAAATATGTCACCTCACATAGTTGTTTTTGTGGTGAAATCTGCTTTATTCTTACTGTAAGTTCATCTAACTTATTCCCCTTAGAAATGGTGAAAAATATACAGGATATATTGGCATAAGATAATAGTTGAGGGATCAAAACAAAGGATTCTTTGGCTGGGGATTTAGCTCAGTGATTCGGTGGCCTGCCTTGCAAACGCAAGGACCCGAGTTCAATCCCCTGTACCAAAAAAAAAAACAAAACACAAAGGATCCTTTATTAAGTGTTAGTTCAGAAATACAAAAAAAACAGAAAATAAGCTTTTTGTGTTCAGAGATATCTACTGCCAAGAATCAGTGAAAATGAAATTACTGTAACAATAAATGCCACAGCCAACAAAGCAAAATGTATTTCAAATTCCATTGTTTCGATATTTTCAATTTTGTCTTCTTTTTTCTATAAATCTGTCCTAATCATTTTTAAACTTAAAAGAGCAATAAAATTACTTATACATTTTAAATAAAATAGGTTATAATTATATACTAAAAATACTTTTAAAATTTTTTTTAGTTAAAGATAAGTTAAAAAGAAGAAAAACCAAACTAGTCTGCCATGTTTTTCCCAAGCATTCTTCTTTTGTTGCTCTTGTTATTTTGCTGCTTTTGTTTTGTTTTGGTTTGGTTTGGTTTGGTTTTTGAGATAGAGTCTCACTATGTAATTGAGAATGACCTGGAACTAACTGTGTTGCCCAGGCAGAAATCCTCCTGCCTCAGCCTCCCGAGTGCTGGGATTACAGGCGTGTGCCACAACCCCCAGCTTGTTGCTTTTGTTTTTTTAAGACAGGTCTTAGCTGGCCTTGAACTCACTGTTTAGCCCAGGCTGGCTTTGAACTCATGGCAGTCCTCCTGCCTCAGCCTCAAGAGTGCTGGGATCACAGGCGTGCGCGCCCACACCCAGCTCCACATATTCTTTATGTCATTCTTTATAAAGTGCCACAAAATCTGTATTATTTGTATAGTAATCTGTAGTTTATAAATTGTCTGTTTTGCTTTTCTAATATTCTCTGAAAAATGGAAAATTTTGGCATTGACTTTGAAAAGGAAAAGTGCACATCTTCTGATCAAAAATATAATTAAAGAACATATAATAGAAACTAAGAACAGTATACAGTTGTAGCAGTACTCTGGATTTATCATTTTTACGTTTTTGTTATACTTTAAGAAAACCTATTGGGAGATGAAGGAAAACCCCTTTTTGGAGCTCTTCAAAATAGGCAGGTATGTATCTTCAAGCAAGGTTCACACCATTTATGGAACAATATTTTTCTTTTTTAAGGAATTATATAGTTAATTTATCGTTTTGTTTTGTTTTGTTTAAACTTCACTTTAAGCTGGACATGGTGGCGCATGCCTGTAATCCCAGCACTTGGGAGGCTGAGACAGGAGGATTGCTCTGAGTTTGAGACCAGCCTGGGCTACATAGTGAGTTCCAGAGCAGTCTGAACTATATAGTGAGACCCTGTTTCAAAAAACAAAACAACAACAAAAACAAACTTCACTTTGAAAGAACAGCAGAATTCTTTAGGGCAAAAAGAGAGCTGCTCAAATCTCATGAAAAATTGAATGTTCACTGTTGTGCCCTTGAAAAGCTTTTCTCAGCATCAGGGGTTAAAAGTGTTTCACATAGTCAGGTGATACTTACCTCCCCGCTCCCTCTTTGCCCATTGCCTGGTGTCTCTGTAGTTTTCCTGCCTCGCTGCTTTTGCACTGTCCTATAACAGTAAATGTTGGTGCTGACTTACCTCTACCCAAATCATCACACTGAATTCAAGAGTGAAACTGCATTGCGACACCTAGATGCCCAGGAGTATACTCCTGCCTCAGGCGTAAGCCTTGTAACACAGGCAGCTGTGGAAAACGGTTCTCAGGAAGTGTTCTCAGTAGCCTCATGAAGACAAAAGAAGCAGCTGAAGGATTTCTAGACCATATCTCTTCTATCCCTTCTCCTCTCCTCCTTTCCCCTCGCACTCCTCGCTTATGTAGCTCTAGCTGACCTCAAACTCATAGCAATCTTCCTGCCTCTGCCTCCTGAGTGCTAGGTTATAGTCACGCACCACCACACCGGGCTCCCTCTTACTTTTCTAACAGCTGTGACAGGAGACTAATAGTCCATAGTGTACTTCCCTGTAGTTTCCATCCTGTTTTTTGAGCAGCAGAAGATAGGTTTTAGTGGTTCAGAGATTTTCTTACCATCCTTTTAGAATTTCTAGAAATACATTTGCACAAGTTCAGTGGAATAAGGCCAGATGTTTAACAAATTGATGCTGGACAAAATGAGTGCTTAAATGAGAATTGAGATGATATAGCTTTAATACTACTTTGTCATGAGAAAATAAGTTTAGTACGATCATAAAACTTTTCAGGTATCAAAAATATTGTAGTTATGTGCACACTTGTAATCCCAGCACTCAGGAAACTGAGGCAAGAGGATTGTAAGTTCGAAGCCTGCCTGGCCTACAGAGTGAGACTCTTGTCTCCAAAAAAAAAGCTATAATTAGAATGTAAAATAAAAAGTGACTCGGTAACTAATTCTTATAGATCAGTATTGTTTTCGTATAGTGATGGTCTTATAATTTTATTTTCCCCTCTCTTACAATCTAGCACAATGGTCTGAAAGCATTAATGCAGTATGCAGTTGCACAGAGGGTTACCTGTTCTCAGGTCCTGATACAGAAGCATCTGGTTCGTCTCCTATCAGGTAGAGTCTTTTCTGAATTATTGCTGTGTTTTTTCCTGCTGCATTTCTGGCCTTGTATTTTAGTATGAAGCAACATACTGTTCTCATTTGGAGTACTAGTAAAATCTTACTGACTACAAGAGTCTGACCAAAAATAAATAAAATGCCTGGCGGCTCTGTAATACTTGCAATCTAATTTTTAAAACCAGGTATTTTCCAAATATTTTCAGTCTATATTCCTCTACTTACCTAGGTTATTGAAGCAGAATCCACAACCACTAACATTTGTGTGTCCCCAATTTGTTTAGGAAGGATAAAATGACTTAAACCATTTTAAAATATATTTAATTTCACTGGTTTTCTTGCATTCTAACAAGCTAGAAATTTACTTAAGTGTTTATATGGTGCTCTTAATTCATATAAAAGTCAAGGGACGCAAGGGTCAATGGACATAGAATGACTTTGGCTGCATTTCCATTTACGAATTTGAACCATATAATAAAGGCTCCTCTGAACCCAAACTTTGTAATTTGATTGGTTCTTAAATCGAAAATGTCACGTGTAGGGGGGGATTCATCTTTCACTTCCCGGATACAATTCTATAGAATAAAAGAGTCATTTAGATTTTTTTTTAAGCTTTAAAGCTAGGGATCATTTTCTGCTAGCTAACTAGTGGTCACTTTTTTCCAACAAAATTGAGCAACTTTACCTTGAAAATCTGTTGAGACAGGAAAGTTTCTTCCTTGTTAATCCTCATGAGCTCCATAGAAAGCTCTTCTGTGGTTTTCTGCCCACTCTGGTAATTCAGGGACTCCACAGCTGTCCAAGGCTGCTGCCCCACTCTCATGTGCTCAGCTTTCATATTTTCAATTTAACTTCCAGCTATTTCCTAAATTAGCTCACTTATTAGAAACGTAAAATTGAAGTTGTTCTCCTAGAGCCATGCACTTTTTTTCTGTTATTTGTATTCCTTCCTCCTTTGCTTGCTTCCTTCCTTCTTTTAAACCAATGGTATAGGCTCAAACTTCTATATATTATACATGCCTATCTTTTTTCTTAGGATGTATTTCTGTAATCTAACAATTTGTCCTATTTGTACATTACTGTTTTGTTTTGATACTGGGGATCAAACTCACTCAGGTCCCTGCACTTGTGAGGCAGGCGGCGGAACCACTGAGCTGAAACCCTGGCCCCACTATTTTGTTTTCTAATCTTTAGATATCTCTTTCATTTCAACCCTAATTTAGACACTAATATACTTAGGATTTCCAGATAAACTTACCGCTCTGCACTTGCTGTACATTATGGTGTTTATAATGTTGAAAATAACTCAAAGCAAACATCAAAGCAGGAAACTAACAGCATCACAGAGGACAGACTAAAATGACTATCACTCCTTATTAGTGCTAATAATTTCTTTTCTTTTTTTGACACCAAGGATCAAACTCAGGACCTTGTACTTGCAAGGCAGGTACAGCACCACTGAGCTAAATCCCCAGTCCCCAATAATTTCTAATTAACAGTAAAAGAGTTGGAACCATGAACTATATAGAAAGTGGTATAAAATGTCACTTCCATGAAAAGACCAAAAAAAATGAATGAAAGAAGCAGAACCTTTATAAATGTTCACATTATAAATAGCCAAATGTCAGATGTGTGCTTCACAAATACATGCTTTTAAAAATTGAGGCAAGGGAGGGCTGAGGATTTAGATCAGTGGTTCCACTGCCTGCCTCACAAGCACAAGGTCTCAAGTTCAATCCCTGGTACCAGGAAAAAAAAAAAAAACTGAGGCAAGAGAGCCAGGCCTGGTGGCACACACCTGTGTAATCCCAGCACTCTGGAGGCTGGGGCGGGAAGAGCCTGGGCTACATAGAGAGTTCAGGGCCAGCTTGAACTACAAAGGAGACCTTGCCTCAAAAAAAGAAAAAAAAATTGAGACAAGGAGATCACTGTGGTGATCTGCTCTTACCTCCTCTAGCAGGTGGAATTTGAATGAGCCTTGAAGGGTGGTTCATCATAGGTAAGCTGAGAGGAGCAGAAACAGCATTCCAAGGGGAGATAGAGGGAGTCATAAAGCATGTGATATATTCAAAGGAGCAACTTTGGCAGAAGTATTTCTACCTACATAGAGAAGCATGACTTTATTTTGATAACACAGGGTCTTAAATACCCCAGCAAGAAATTTGAACTTTTTTTTTTTTTTTTTTTTTTTTTGTACCAGGGATTGAACTCGGGTCCTTGCACTTGCAAGGCAGGTGGTGGAACTGCTGAGCCAAATCCCCAGCCCTGAATTTTATTCTTTAGCAGGGAGGTTTTGAAGGATTTTTTTTGGTTTGTTTGGGGATGGGGGGCATTGGTAACAGGGACCAAACTCAGGACTTTGCATTTGCCAGGCAGGCATGGTGGGACTGCACTAAATCCCTGCCCCAGTTTTGACGTTTTAAGCAGTGTTTTCTAAGGCTAATTTGATATTATATGTAGGTTTGGATTGAAGGAAGGAAAAATTAGAAGTAACATCTGTACCTGGATGTAATTCAGGAATTAGGAAAGGAAGTGGGCTGGGCTAAACTAAATGAATAACAGAAAATTTGAGAGAAGAAAGAAACTTCAGAATAAAGAGTGTGTAAGGCAATGAATATAATTTTAATCTGTTGATCTGCAGCTCCACTAACAGTGCCCACTGCTGGCTGTGCTAGACACTGCGCTCTCATCTTACTGTACAATCATTTCCTGAAGTTCTCATTATTCCTGTTCATTCCCCCTTCTGATGGTGGATAGGAGGCACAGGGAAGTTATATGACTTGCCCCCATGGTCATAAACCCAGGATGAAGCAGAACTAATAGTTGAACCCAGGCCTTACCATAGAGTCTATATTTTCCCTAGTTTATTGCATAAACTTTACTAAGATATTTAACTTAGCATAATAGGATGGTCTTTAAACAGTAGATAAAATATGCCTGCTAAAACTGACTTCTGATTTCAAAGGAATTTTTAAATACATGTTTTCAGTAACCAGAAAAAAACATTTCAGAGCTATCTATAAGAAAATTCATGACAGGGCTGGGAATTTAGCTCAGTAGTTCTGCCACCTGCCTCACAAGCAGAGACCTGAGTTCGATCCCCAGTACAAAAAAAAAAAACAAAAACAAAAGAAAATTCAATGATGGAGTAGTCCAGTGAATAAAAAGGTAATAGAAATCAGTTCAAGGGGTTAGGAGTGGTTTAAATATCATAAGAGTGAAACAAGTTGTAGCCCAGGGAAGGAAAATAAAATATTCTCATGGATATACATACATATACATGTGTGTATGTGTGTGTGTGTGTGTGTGTGTGTGTGTATAATGTTTATATTTATATATATAATATATTACTAAATTTGGGGGGGTATTTTGTTTTTGATTTTGTCCTTTTCTTTGTTTGTTTTTTGAGATAGGGTCTCACTATGTAGTTGAGACTGACCTGGAACTCACTATGTAGCCCAGGCTGGTCTCAAACTCACAGCGATCCTCCTGCCTCAGCCTCCCCAGTGCTGGGATTATAGGCGTGCGCCACCACACCCGGCAGTTTTTTGTTTTTTATGGTGGTACTTGAGGGCTGAACCCAGGAAATTCACAATGAGCTACATCCCAGCCCTTTATTATTTTTTTATTTTGAGACAGGATCTCCCTAAGTCACTAAGTTGCCTACCCTGGGCTCATACTTCCAAACCTCCTGCTTCAGCTTTCTGGAGTATTGGGATAGCAGGCATATGCCACCATACTTAGCTTTGAAGATGTTCACTATGAGGAAATGAGACCTAGAAATGCAGGTGACTTGTCAGAGTCACCCAGCTAATTAATGGCAAAGCTCTGTGATCATTTCAGTTTATTTAATATAGCCAATATTAATCACACTTAGTGAGTGGTTACTATATGCCAAGCTTGGGATAAATCTTTAAAAGACATACATTAATGAACCTCAACAGTTTCATAAATACTATATACTTAGAAAGTTATCCAGATATTCACAGCCAATACTGTACAAACCCATTTTAGTCTGATTTAAAAGACCATAATCGGGCTGGGGATGCACAAGATCCTGAGTTTGATCCCCAGTATGGAGTGGGGGACCCCATAATCTTAACCTTGGAATTAATGTTTAAAAATTGACATAGTCCAGCCAGGTATGGTGGCACATACCTTTAATCTCAGCACTCTGGAAGCTGAAGCAAGAGGATCACCACAAGCTGGAGCCAGCCTGGAATACATACTGAGTTCAAGACCAATCTGAACTACATAGCAAGACCCTGTCTCAAAAGAAAAAAGGAGAGAGCCAGGGATTTAAGCTCAGTGGCTCCACGCTTGCCTTGCAAGCACAAAGTCCTGAGTTTGATCCCCGGTACTGGGGAAAAACGGGGAGAGAGTGAGTCTTGGCAGGCCTTGAACTCACCATGTAGCTCAGGCTGGCCTCAAATTCTCAATCCTCCTGGCTCAACCTCCCAAGTGCTAGAATTACAGGCCTGTACTTCCACACCCAGCTCACTTTTTAAAATAATAGCTTTATTGAGATGTAATTCATTCTTTCCTTCTGTTTTTATATATGCAAAACCATTCCTATTGCATCAATTTCTTTATTTCCTTGCCGCTCTTTCCCTGACTTCCAGGTTGATTTCTTTTCCTTAGAGATGGCTATATTAGAAAGATGAATGCTTTTGCGCTGTCTCCAATTCCTCCCTATCATCAGTCCACCTAAACCACTATCTGTTTTGTGCAGAAGGACATTCTGTATCCTCATTTTATCTATACTGCTTTGCATGTTCTTCCTGCTCTCCACCAATCTGTTCACATAATGTGTGTTACAGAACATTTAGAAATATGCAGTGAGGGGAAGAAGTAATAGAAGTCGGGGAGGAAGTAATAGTTGCTTTTATAAGCTCTACCACTGAGCTAAACCCCTAGTTTAGCAAGTGTTTCTTTAACAGGCTCTTTTTCACTTATTCTACTTCATTCACCTTATACTCCTATATTTTTTCTTCCAATCCTTAAATTATATTGAAGGCTTTCTAGTAGCCTTTACTCAGTTCAATTCAGGTTTTATTATGGTTCCTGTATCTTGAAGGTATATACTAGTTTCTGTATTTTATAACACTGTTAAATTTTCCCTTTACATGCTTCTACCTTGCATTTTATTTTACTTCATTGCTATCCTACTGACTGAATTATGTTAACTTTTTGTTTATTTTAGTTGTGCTTCCTAACTTAAGATCAGAAGATACACCATGCCTTCTATCTATAGATCTATTTCATGTTTTGGTAAGTGTTCAGTAAAATTTTTTTGAAGTCATCACATTTATAATTTTGCACGTGTTTTCTTCATTCAAAATCATATTCTCTTTAAGATTATAAATTCTTTAAAGTTTGGTCTCTTTTCCATTCTCCTTATAAATAGGTCTAGATTTTTTTTTGTTTTTTTTTTGCGGGGTTTTTTTTTTTTTTTTGGTTTTTTGAGACAGGCTCTCACTATGTAGTTGAGACTGACCTGAAACTCACTGTGTAGCCCAGGCTGGTCTCGAACTCACAGCAATCCTCCTGCCTCAGCCTTCCAAGTGCTGGGATTACAGGTGTGCACCACAACGCCCGGCAATAGGTATTTGACAGAGACCATCAAAATACTTTAAAAATGAAAGCATATTTATCTGTCTTTTACTTTCTAATTGGTCTTGTTCCAGTTGTTATATTAATTGGTGTGAAAGGGTTGATCAAAATATACAGGGACTATTTACATGTAAAAATATTTATCACAGTAAAAGACACATTGCCATTAATCCTCACCCTACTTCTGACATAATTATGCCATCGTTCTTGCCAGTTTCTGAAGCAATCCTGGAAGTACTCTTTTTATGAGTATCTTTTCAAGCTGCACTCAAAAATGTGCTGAATACTGCTGTCAATTGCCATCCAACAACAGAAAGGCAGGCTTGTAAAAACACCGTGGTGTGTCCTTATCTACCTCATTCACCAAATCTGGCACAATGCAACTTGTGACTCTTTCCCAAAGTCAAAATGACCATAAAAAGTAAACATTTTGAATAAATTCAGGATAGCAAGACAACCACAACAGTTCCACTACAGACACATAACAAGAATGATAACTGTGTCCAAAGTGAGAGCATTTTCAGCTAGATTGAAGCCAATGTGTCCTCGAACTGTAATACATGTTTTTATTTAAATTTTCACAGTATTTTTTTTAATCACACCTCATATATACAGGCAAACTTTCTGATTCTGCATTTCTTTCTTTCTCTCTCCCCTTTTCTTAACTTGCATAGTGTGAGTTATTTTAAAATCCATTAATTGTTTAGTAACGGCCCTGGGCTATAGGTAACTGTGCCTCTCCAGGAAACTTGTAGACAAATGACAATGTTTTAGTTTCTTGCAGAGCTTTTCCCTCCTTGTAAGGATCTCATTCCTTTACACCTACTTTTACAACTAAAGCAGTAATGAGTGTGGAGTTTGTGGGTGAATATAGTGTGCGCCAGAATCCCCATCCCTCATTATCTGGTTGTTGACCCTGCCTCTTTTGGAACCTCCTACAAAACTTTGAAGAGAATGCTAGTAACTGGGCTGTATCCCCAGGTGTCCCACTTGGGTTGGACTGTGTGTTGAGGCCTGTGTATCAGTGCTGAGCTCCCCAAGTCATTGTAGTGTTGGGTCTTCAGGACCACACAGTCGAGTACTATGACCTAGACCTGGAATAAGAAGACCCAGCAAAGGGTTTACCAAGTGATGATATTTGTCCTCTATTTATGGAGCGTTCTATTCTAAGATATTCTGTTGAATAACTAGGAAAAATACAGTAGTTATTTTTTTAAATATAAAAATAGTGTCACATCTGGTATCCTTTGTAATTGGTTATGAGATAATTCATGTTGGTCTTTTTGTCGATGTCCATTTTCCTCCCTTAGGTAGGTGCTGTGCTGGCATTCCCAGCTTTGTATTGGGATGACACTGTCGATCTACAGCCTTCATCAATTAGTTCTGCCTATAACCAACTTTATCTCTTCCATCTGATCACCATGGCACACATGCTTCAGATATTTCTTACAATAGACACAGGTAAAGCTTCCATCTGGGTATTGGCTCTAATTAACTTTTGCCCTTGCCTTAATGGCAAATTCATTGTGCTTGTGATTGATCATATTATGTATTTCTAAGTCCTATATGTCCTTTATTGAATGGTTATTTGTTTCCTTTCCTTTCCTTTCTTTCTTTCTTTTTTTTTTTTTTTTTTTTTTTTTTTTTTTTGAGACAGGATCTTGCTATGTAGTTCAGGCTGACCTTGAGCTCACTGTGTAACCCAGGCTATCCTCATATCCTCAAATTCTTGACAATCCTCCTGCCTCAGCCTGCTGAGATTACAGCCCAGCCTCATTTGTTTCTTTACAGATGCCATTTAAACAGGGAAAGGTAGAATAAGTGTGAAAATGATAATTCTTTGACACCACTTAACTGTCTGCTCTGCAGATATGCAGAGACTATTTGGATCTGCTTTCCCTTTTATTCAAATTCCTCATCTCCCCCCACCCCATACCATGGATTGAACTCAGGACCTTGCACTTGCAAGGCAGGCAGGATACCACTGAGCTAAATCCCCAGCCCTCATTCCTCACTTTTAAGGTCTCTCCAAGGTTTATTCCTGTCTGACTGCTTTCAACTTTTTGTTAACACTGTCTATGAAACTATTCTTCAAATAGAATAATAAGTTGTTCACCTTGTAGCATTTTCACTCAATGTTTTATAGTTACTTGTAGTTATATCTTCATATTCCACCCCTTTTCCTGCTTCTCTCTCCCTCTCTCTCTCTCTTTTTTTTTATTTTTTATTTTTTTGGTGCTAGAGGTCAAACTCAGGACCTTAAACTCTTGCCTCTCCTTTCTGTCTTGTCCTCATTCCTTACCTTAAGTTTCCAAATGGTACAGAACAATCAAATTTCAAAATCCTTCCTTTTGATGTCAAATACCTAGAACCCTTCGCTATACCCAGTAACTGCTCCTTAAATGGTTTTGAATAAGCATTCATTTGAAGATACATGAGTAATACAGCATTTTGAAATTATAATTGTCCTTTTAGAGCCTTCATAAAAGTGAAGTCTGATTCTGAGTAGTAATGACCAATAAGGGTTATTGAAAGTTCCACTGATTTAGATGATGAACAGTTAAGTGGCAGTAGAATAAAATATAGCAAAATTACATACTCATTTACCCTTTGAGCCGCCACTTCCACTTCTAAGAACCTATGCCAGTGGGTTGCAGGGGTACCTGCCCATAGTCCCACTTAGTCATGAGACTGAAGCAGGAGGATCACTGTAACCCAGGAGTTCAAGATCAGCCTGCATGTAAAATGTACCTCAAACAGAGCTGGGTGTGCTGGCACACCCTTATAATCCTAGCACTCGGGAGGCTGAGGCAGGAGGATCGCTTTGAGTTCAAGACCAGCCTGGGCTACATAGTGAGTTCCAGGTCAGTCTCAACTACATAGTGATAACCTGTCTC